ACCTTAAATATTAGGTTCCCTCATTAAGATTTCCTTTTTTTCAATATACGTTACCCTTTTCTTGCTCTATCAGGTTAATTTGATTTTTGTTAATCTAACATGTTGATAGGTCATTAATGTGCAAATACTTTTCTCCGCCTACGAGTCTTATTTGACCAAATTGCACTGATTGGCAACTGAAACACTTTGCTGCTATGACGTAGCACAATGGAGTATAAAAAGAAAAGAAAAGAAAAACTTAGATCTTTAAGATGTGTTCAGGTGAATGCCACATGCATTTGTAAACGTAATGAATAATTTGGTGATCAGTTAAAACCCATTCTAGTGAACTTCCTTTGCTAATGTTTATTGTACATGAGAGGGGTACAGTACATGAAGCAAATTTCTGTCTATATAACACTTGCTTTGCCTCAGGAATGAAGTTTATTCAATTTCCTTGAAGCAAGGAAATCAATTTAACCTTATTGTTTTCTGAAGATAAAGTATCTGATGTATAAAGAAAGAATAAAACTCCCAGTTTGTTCATGAAGTGAGAACATTTATCAAGTTACTTTATTCCCTGTGGTAAATATTTCACAGGTTATATTGGGTCTCAAGTATCATTGGACACAAGAACCTCCTGAAGATGCGTGGCCCACACCTACACCTTGTTTCTGACCGATTCTTTGTGTCTTCTCTTCTCATGCTTCGTCCTTATCTGCGTGCTCTTTTCCTCCTTGCTAATAATGCCGTGTCTGTAGGATTTTACGCAGGGCGATCTCTCCTCCGGATGAAAGAGAAATTTCTTCGTGGAATACTTCGGAAAAAGAGACAGATTGGTGTACAGCTTTTCTTTGGCAGCCTCGGTACATATACATTGGAGTTTAGTCGTAGTGGTCGCTCTGTGTTAGAGTATTCCATTCGTAGAGGAAGTTCATTGTGTATAGGGTCTTCAACGTCTTTAAAGAGTATCTTGACTCTATTAATAAAACTTGCTTACTCGTCATATGTATGAGTGAGACAGCAACAGTGACAATTACCGCTTTTTGGATGCGGTAGAACACAGAAGCTAGTAGGCAGTAATCAGCAACATAGTATATGAGATAACAATAAGGGCGCGCGTGTGTGTTGTGTGTGTGTGTGTGTGTGTGTGTGTGTGTGTGTGTGTGTGTGTGTGTGTGTGTGTGTGTGTGTGTGTGTGTGTGTGTGTGTGTGTGTGTGTGTGTGTGTGTGTGTGTGTGATTGTATACATGCGCATCAAAGCTAATACTAGCATTTCCACCTCCCGGAAACCTCGTCCTCCAGGTCTGCGACTTCCACCCCGACTGCCCCGACGGAGACGACGAGACATCCTGCGGCACCACGGACTTCGAGCAAGACCTCGGAGGATGGGAGGACACCAGCGACAACGACGAACGCTACGTGTGGTCGAGGGTCGCCGCCGTGGAAGCTGCGTACCCGCATGGAACGGCGCCCTCGCACGACCACACGCTCGCCGACACGCAGGAGGGCTACTTCATGTGGGCTCCGGGGACGTCCGGGGGTACGGGATGCAGGGTTTCAGAAGGAACAGCATTGTGATTAGTAATTAATGATGTGTTCATGCAATCGCACCAATACTTAACTTCCGACTTTGTACACTTGTGTTTCCAACCAATTTCATACACTTATTAGAGTAAATGAGTCTGAAATTATTCTGAGATGCATGCATAGATATATACATATATATATATATATATATATATATATATATATATATATATATATATATATATACACACACACACACACACACACACACACACACACACACACACACACACACACACACACACACACACACACACACACACACACACACACACACACACACACATATATACATACATACATACATACATACATATATATATATATATATATATATATATATATATATATATATATATATATATATATATATATATATATATGCATGCATCTCAGAATAATTTCAGACTCATTTACTCTAACAAGTGTATTTTTCGTTTTATGGGATATGAACAAAGCCGTTTTAAGCCAACAAGTCACTCGTAATACCTTCCTCCTTCGTCCTCACTCCGGCCCCCAGGTGACGTGAATGCGGGACACACCGCCATCGTACGCTCCCCCGCCATAGGTCCTCCGATTCTTCCCTGCAAGCTAGTGTTCTGGTACCACATAGTTCTTGGAGGTCCAGAAATACGTGTTATTCTGGGCAGCGAGGAGGATACCTGGTTATGGGAAAAGTCGGTTTATCCCTCCTCTACGTCCGATTGGCGGAGAGCGCAGCTTGAGATTGGAAACCACGAGGTTAAGATATATGTAAGTGGTTTTGGCTGTTTTTTTTTACTAAGGAGCGACATGTATGTAATGCAGAGAATAAGAACTTCAGATGTTTTTTTTATGTAATGGTGATTGTTTGTTTACTAAGTAGCAAAAATATTTGAAAGATGGGGAATAGATGTTTCATAGATCTACAGGCTGTTGGATTTAATTTATCATGTCTAGATTTCATTTCTCATTTCACTTATTTTTCCTTTGTTTATTTATCTCTGTCTTTTCCAAGATTTCCCTCATGCCATTATTAGTTTCATAAGTTACTGAATTATCCCCCCCCCCTCCCAGCTGTCTTTACTTCTCCTGCTAGTTCTCATAAAAAAAAAACAACAACACTATTATGTCCTCCAATTTTCAGATCCGATTCATCATCAACCTTGGTACAATCACAACAGTTAGTTTCGATGTTTGTGTCGACGATGTTGTGTTTCAAGACTGTGCCCCTGATACTCCGGCCTCTAAGGTGTGCATCATGCGCCTATATTTGCGTGTGTGCGTGAGAGAGTGAGAGAGAGAGAGAGAGAGAGAGAGAGAGAGAGAGAGAGAGAGAGAGAGAGTGAGAGAGAGAGAGAGAGAGAGAGAGAGAGAGAGAGAGAGAGAGAGAGAGAGAGAGAGAGAGAGAGAGAGAGAGAGAGAGAGAGAGAATGTTCATCTGTTCACATCCTACATGATGAATCAATATACATGGTTAAGGGATAACATCCATCCCTCAACAGCAATATTAAATAACCCATTCATTCGTTTTCTCCCCCGTCCTCGGCACCTATCACGACCAGGACCCTGTGATCTGTACCTTCGAAGTGCCCTGCGAGATGTATCAGAGTAACAGCGATGATGGAAAATGGTACATTAACGAATATTTCGAACCCAACAGTGAGTATGAAGCTGCGTTGTTGCGTTTTGCATTTCTTGTGCATACATACTTTATAACCTTTACGATAATCAGATTTATCATTATTATTATTATTATTATTATTATTATTATTATCATTATTATTATTATTATTATCATTATTATTATTATTATTATTATTATTATTATTATTATTATTATTATCATTATTATTATTATTATTATTATTATTATTATTATATGGGTTAGTATTGTCATTGTTACTGTTGCTGATGTTATTCTTATATATTTTATTACAGTTATTTCTGTTACTACTACCATTACTGATGTTGTTATCATCATCATCATTGTTATTATTATTTATATTTTCATTGTTATTATGACTGTTATCATGAACATTACTGTTATCATTATTATTGTTATTATCTTTAATATTATTATTGTTATTATCATCATCATCATCATTACTATCACTAGTATGCATATTACTATTCTTAATATCATTTTTAGTATTATTATCATTATTATTATTACAGTACTGTTATTGTCGAGATCATCTATATAATTTCTACTACTACCGTTACTATCAGTACTAATAAAATTATCATTATCATTATCATCATCATCATCGTTACCATTCTTGTTCCACTTTATTTTTCCTTGTCATTGAGTTTCTGACAATGGTAACACCGATAAAAATGAGTATTTAATATTTTAAAAAAAATGTTAATATTTGATTAGTAACACATGCCTTCTCACACATCGCAGATTTCTGTCTCTCGACAACCGTGGTCACGACCGGGTCTCGCGTGATCCAGACTTGGTGGCGGCTTCCGTCGGATCAGTTCTGCGTCTCCTTCAGGTATAGGGAATAACTTCTATATCTTACATACATCCGTGTGTGTGTGTGTGTGTGTGTGTGTGTGTGTGTGTGTGTGTGTGTGTGTGTGTGTGTGTGTGTGTGTGTGTGTGCGTGCGTGTGTGTGTGTGCGTGTGTGTGTGTGTGTGTGTGTGTGTGTGTGTGTGCGTGCGTGTGTGTGTGTGCGTGTGTGTGTGTGTGTGTGTGTGTGTGTGTGTGTGTGTGTGTGTGTGTGTGTGTGTGTGTGTGTGTGTGTGTGTGTGTGTGTGTGTGTGTGTGTGTGTGTGCCTGGCCGAGGTACGAATGAACATGGGAACGCACACATGTATACACTAATACATTATATAGATAGATAGATAGATAGATAGATAGATAGATAGATAGATAGATAGATAGATAGATAGATAGATAGATAGATAGACAGACAGATAGATAGATAGATATGTATATATATATATATATATATATATATATATATATATATATATATATATATATATATATATATATATATATATATATATATATATATACATATAAACATCTGTGTGTGTACCTCGGCCAGGTACATCGTGCAGGAGCGAACGAGCCTGAGGATTCTCGTGGCCACCGAGAACACCACGACCGAGGTCTGGAAGCGGAAGCACAACGGCATCTCCGCGTGGAGGACGCAGCACCTGCAACTGTCCAGCGAAGTGTTGTACCAGGTAATGATTTCACGCTTTATGAACCTTTGAATCTTATTACATTGGTGAGCGTTTCGCAGTCAGTTTTACTGATATGAATCCCTTTTTTTTTTGCAGACGAAATAAGGAATGATAAGAAGAACGTATTTTTTCGTTTTATTGTTATCATTATTATTATTATTATTATTATTATTATTATTATTATTATTATCATTATTGTTATTATTAATGTTATTATCAAAACTATTATTGTCATTATTAAAACTATTATTATTATTATTATTATCATTATTATTATTGTTATTATTATTATTATTATTATTATTATTATTATTATTATTATTATTATTATTATTATTATTATTATTATTATTATTATTATTATTATTATTATTATTATTATTATTATTATTATTATTATTATTATTATTATTATCATTATTATTATCATTATTATTATTATTATTAAAATCATAATTATTATCATCATCATTATTATTATTATCATCACTAATTCAAAAACCTTCACGGCCTTCCATTCACCAGATTCACATCGACGGCATCATCGAGATGGAACACGACAATGCTGTGTTCCTGGACGACGTGAAGATCATGGAGGGGCGCTGTCCGGCCTCCTCCACCTGCACCTTCGACGAAGACTCGGAAACGTGTTTGTGGGAGAACTTCAAGGACGAGACCGCGACCGCCGACTGGTCTCTCGGGGCGGGGGAGGAGGCGAGGCCCGACGCCCCCCCGTGAGTCTTTTATTTTATTTTATTTTATTTTCCTTCAGAATATTGTGTTTGAAAATATTGTTTGTTGTTATTGTTGTTTTTGTTACTGATAGTTTAGAGTTGACTTTTTTCTTTTTCTTTTCTTTTTTTTAATGATAGTTTGACAATTTGAAAAGTGATTATTACTGGTTATTCTCTTTGATTGGTATCATGATTACCTTTTCGTTATTAGAGTTATTATGATCATTTCAGCATTAGTACACTGTTATGGTTATTTTACTATTACAATTATTATCACTGATACTATTAAAAATGTTACTGACATTATTATTCTTTTTTATTCTTATCTTATTCTCTAACATTACCACCGTCAAAAAAAAACACAACTAAATAGCATCATCTTCATAACAATTACTACCATCCTCATCACCACTCACCCACCTCCCTCAATCCCCCCCCCCAGAACCGACCACTCCTGGGGGTCGTCGCAGGGCCACTTCCAGTACCTGCCCCGTGGGAACGACCAGAACGACCAGCGCGGGTTCCTCAAGAGTCCCGAATTCACCAGCACCGCGCCGGAGGGAGATTGCTTCCAGTTCTGGTTCTTCCTGAAGTCCACGGGGTTGGTAAAGAGAAGGAGGGAGGGGAGGGGAAGGGAGAGGGAAAGAGAGGAAAGGAGAGAGATAGAGAGGGGAGGGAAGAGAGGAAGGAGAGGGAGGGGGAGGGAGAGGGAGAGGGAAAGAGAGGAAGGAGAGAGGGGGAGGGAGAGGAAGAGAGAAAGGAGAGGGAGGGAGGGGGGAGGGAGAGGGAGAGGGAAAGAGAGGAAAGGAGAGGGAGGGAGGGGGGAGGGAGAGGGAGAGTGAAAGAGAGGAAAGGAGAGAGATAGAGGGGGGAGGGGGAGGGAGAGGGAGAGAGAAAGAGAGGAAAGGAGAGGGTGGGAGGGGAGGGGAAGGGAGAGGGAAGGAGAGGAAAGGAGAGAAGGAGGGAGGGAGGAGGGAGAGGGAGAGGGAAGAGAGGAAAGGAGAGAGATAGGAGGGGGAGGGGAAGGAGAGGAAAGAGAGGAAAGGAGAGGGAGGGAGGGGGGAGGGAGAGGGAGAGTGAAAGAGAGGAAAGGAGAGAGATAGAGGGGGAGAGGGAGAGAGAAAGAGAGGAAAGGAGAGGGTGGGAGGGGAGTGAGAAGGAGAGGGAAAGAGAGGAAAGGAGAGGGAGGGAGGGGAGGGGAAAGGAGAGGGAAAGAGAGGAAAGGAGAGAAGGGGGGAGGGAGAGGGAGAGGAAAGGAGAGAAGGAGGGAGGGGAGGGAGAGGGAGAGAGAAAGAGAGGAAAGGAGAGGGTGGGAGGGGAGGGAGAGGGAGAGGAAAAGAGAGGAAAGGAGAGAGAGAGGGGGGAGAGGGAGAGGGAAGGAGAGAGAGGGGGGGAGAGGGAGAGGGAAGGAGAGAGAGGGGAGGGAGAGGTAGAGGAAAGGAGAGAGGGGGAGAAGGAGAGGGAAAGAGAGGAAAGGAGAGAGAGAGGGGGGGGGGAGAGGGAGAGGGAAGGAGAGAGAGGGGGGGGAGGGATAGGAAAGGAGAGAGGGGGAGAGGGAGAGGGAGAGGGAAGGAGAGGAAAGGAGAGAGAGGGGGGGGAGAGGGAGAGGGAAGGAGAGAGAGGGGGGAGAGGGAGAGGAAAGGAGAGAGAGAGGGGGGAGAGGGAGAGGAAAGGAGAGAGGGAGAGAGGGAGAGGGAAAGAGAGGAAAGGAGAGAGAGGGAGAGGGAGGGGATGGAGAAGAAGAGGGAAAGAGAGGAAAGGAGAGAGAGGGAGAGAGGGAGAGAAAGAGGGAAAGAGAGGAAAGGAGAGAGAGAGGGGGAGAGGGAGAGGGAGGGAGAGGGAGGGGATGGAGAAGAAGAGGGAAAGAGAGGAAAGGAGAGAGAGGGAGAGAGGGAGAGAAGGAGGGAAAGAGAGGAAAGGAGAGAGAGAGGGGGAGAGGGAGAGGGAGAGGGAATGAGAGGAAATGAGAAAGAGGGGGGGAGAGGGAGAGGGAAAGGAAGAGGGGAGATGGAGAGGGAGAAGGAGAACGAGAAAGAAGGAGAGCGAGAAAGGAGAGAAAGAGAGAGAGAAAAAAAGAGAGAGAAAGAGAGAAAAACAAAGAGAGAGAGAGAGAGAGATTGAAAGTATGCATCTATATCATGAGTGCATCCATATTATAAGGGTTCTGAAAGTAGACCAACCAGTGTGTCAGTGACTCTCCAAAGGACTCGAAAGGGGTCATCAAATGGCTAGGGGGTCGATGAACAGAAAGGCTTAAAAATATATTTGTGTTGGGTTTATTGGAGAAAAAAATAATTTATTATTATATATATGTATATATATATATATATATATATATATATATATATATATATATATATATATATATATATATATACATATATATATACAAATATATATATATATATATATATATATATATATATATATATATATATATATATATATATATATATATATATATATATATATGCAAAATTCTTGGCAGTGAATTACCCGTCGGCGAACTGGGCGTCCGACTCCTGACGGACGGAGAGGTCGGCGAGCGGATCTGGCAGCACGAGTACGCCGCGCACGAGGGCTGGCAATACGGCGAAACCACCGTCGGCCACGAGCAGGACTTCAGCGTGAGTGGCGATTTTTGTCTGTGACTTGACGAAGATATCGATATATGTTTGTTTTAATTTTGAATGTATTATATTTACTTATCTATCTGTCTATCCATTATTTTCACTCTGTTTGCACGAAATGTAATTAGAGATTTTGTTTCTGATAGTGCAGTATTGTTAATATGAATATTTTGGAGCACGATACTACGACAGTAAAATGGTAGTCACTGGATCGCCGCGCCTAAGAACAGATAGATGAATAAGATAATACTAAATGAATTTATGAGAAACGTACTTGAAACTGAATAATTATAAAGCGATAAATGAAATACACAAAACTTAAATTTTTAAATCCGGGTACAGAAAGATGAAAAGATTCTGTAGAGGGCTATGAATGAGATGTCATGGGAAGAGATGTCATATTCATAGGTATATTTCCTACAAAAAACAAAAAAATGCGCGCATACGAAACACAAATGTATATGCATGCACACATACATAGATAAATATATACATATATATACATAGATACGTACGTTGATATTCACATATAAATGCAGACAGAAAGATAGACATTTAAAACAAATACAGCCCATATCATCACTAACCCAGACCTTTCAAAACTCCCCCCCCCCCCCCCAGATCCTCCTGGAAGGCCTGCGTCAGAGAGGCAGGGAAGGCATCCTGGCCTTCGACGACCTGTCTGTGGAGCGAGGTCCCTGCGACGCCCCCGGCACGTGCAGCTTCGAGGGCGGCATGTGCGGGTGGGTCGACGAAGACTCCCTCGAGGGCCACTACACGACCAACAGCTGGCAGTGGACGCGGGCGGAGGACCCTGAGAACGGCCCTGTGCTGGATCACACTACTTACTCGGGACAAGGTCGGCTTTGTCCACAGATTTCGTGTTTATTTTAGACTTTTTTTTTTGAGTGTGCTCCATCGATTTGAGATTTTTTTTTCAAAGGTGGTATTATCAATTGTGTGTTGTTGTTGTTATGATTTCAGTGTTCTTTTTTTTCAACGGTGTTTCTCTCTTGCATATTTACAGGTCATTACGTGTTAGCTGATGTGGAAGAGTGTTATATCTCTGACTGTTACGCCAATCTCGACAGTCGTGATATCAGGCCAACCAATGACACCTACTGCTTGTCTTTCTATTATAATGCACGGCACCTGGGTGGTAAGTATTGATTCTTCTACAATACATATGTGTATGTATATATGTATGTATATATGTGTGTGTGTGTGTGTATATATATATATATATATATATATATATATATATATATATATATATATATATATATATATATATATATATATACATACATATTTATATATATATGTGTGTGAGTGTGTGTGTATAGGAGGATAGATAGATAGATAGATTCTTTTCTTCTCTCTCTCTTTCTTTCATAATATTTTGATCCTACTGGATGAATGTGTCGCAGTAGCTGGCAAAGGATAATATTTAATACTTATATCTGTATATAAATATATTTTTATCCTTTTTACAGACTATTAAATATTTCCATGCATAATGCACCACAGGCCGACAATTTAGTTACTGCAACATAAACAACAAAGCCAAACGCCTGCACTTAACACCACCTCCACTTGAAACCTTGTCCTTCCATCACAACAGAAAACAACCTGTTACTCATAGATGTCGTAGACGTAGAGAGCGACCTGTCCAAAAACATGGGCGTCCTTAAATACACCGCCGATGAGGAGACGTGGCTCAACCATCAGGAGAAGCTCACTGACATCACCTACCTCTTCCGCGTTCACTTGCATGTCAGAGCCTACAAAGATGCACTACCAGAAAAAGGTATGTGGCCGGACTTTTGGATGCGTTGATGGTTATATGTTTTCTTGCTCGGATGTCTTTCTTTCTAATATGTCCGGGTATTTCTTTAATTTGTAAGATGTTTAGTCTTATTACTACTTCAAATTGTTTATTTTATTGTCCACCTGCCGTTTAATTGGTGGGAGTTGTGTAGTCGGAGCTTCTGACGAGTTGAAATTGTTTTGTAGTTAGTCGTCGTTAGCTGTTTTTGTCTTATTTCATCTGTTTACTCTTTTATTTAGTGAGTGTGTCTTTTAGGGATGGACTGTTTATTATGATTG